GAGATGGGAATACCAGACCACCTGACCTGCCTCTTGAGAAACCTGTATGCAGGTCAGGAAGCAACAGTTAGAACTGGACATGGAACAACAGACTGGTTCCAAATAGGAAAAAGAGTACGTCAAGGCTGTATATTGTCACCCTGCTTATTTAACTTATATGCAGAGTACATCATGAGAAATACTGGGCTGGAGGAAGCACATGCTGCAATCAAGATTGCCGGGAGAAATATCAATTACCTCAGATAACCTCAAATGAAGCCAAGGCACTGCCTTCTCCCCAGCTCTCCTGACAAGGAGCTCAGGCTTCCCTAAACCATGGTCCGCTCTACCAATACACTGCCCCCTCTCCCCCGGGTCAATGCAGGTGACCTTGTGGCCTCTCCCATCCCTCTCTCAAGCCCTGCCTCCCCAAGCACATGATCTCTAGGACCTTGCTATCAGTTGGCTGCTAGCTAGCATCAATTACAACATGTAAAATAGATAAGGAACAAGAATCTACTGTATAACACAAGGAACTATAGTTGATAGCCTATAATGGAAAATAATCTGAAAGAATATAACTGAATCACTGCTCTCCACCTGAAATTAACACACTATTTTAAATCAATGATACTTCAATTAAGAAAAAATTAGCTGACCACTAAGTTGTCATGCTTCCCGTGAGCTTTCACGCTGTGACTCTAAGACATGAAGATACAAACTCTTGGCTTTGATGACAGGAAGGGAGAAACGGGGGAGTGAGCAGTGCTGGTCAGAGCCCCTCAATCAACCTCTGTCCTGCTGAGGTCACCGTGGCATTTCCCACAGACCTGGAGACCGCTGTGGGGCAGCCCTGGCCGAGCGCTCATGGGGACGAACAGGGAGGATGGACCACCATCCTCAGCCATCCTCAGCCATTGCAAAGCCACATCTCTCTCCCTTCTTGCCCTCCACCACTTCTCCATCCCCAGCAGCACGGGAAACTGTGACTTGTCATTTCAGTTTCCACCTAAATGCTTGCAGGATATTAACACGTATTTCCAAATATAGCCGCTTTCTTTCAGCTTCAGACACTTCAGCCCAGTTTCAGCGTGAGATGTTGTGAAATAGATAAGCCAGTCTGCTGGAGCTTTTATTACTCTTTCCCCGGGCTCACAAAAGTGTGCAACTATGCACACACATGTACACACATATACACACTCACCCATAAACACACACATCTACCATAGCTAAGATGTTCACCACTCCCTGATCCTGGCAAAGAAGTTCTGACAGCAGATGCCATAACTCCACACCTCAGCAAGACAGAAGAATCCAAGGCCTATAACCTGAGCTGGGGAGGATCAAAGCTGGCGGGTCTGGTGTACCTGAGACACGGGAACTCAACGTTGTCACTCTCCGGCTGCCCCTCCTCTCTCACCAGCACCCGCTCCAGGAACCAGCCGCTGCCACTGCCTTTGCCGTCGTGTCTGATCCTCACCCGCCTCACCTTCCGCATGGTGACAGACTCGATGGTGAACTCATCGGCCTACAGGGGAGACAGCAGGGCCAGATGGACAGTGGCTCCCCTGGGACCCAAACCCCAAGGGAAGATACAGGCCCAGAAATCCGACAAGCCATAGCTGATGGGTTGGACTATTGGTCTTTCCCTGGTGGGCCAGGAGCTACCCATAAAGAACAGGTTGCACTCCACCCCAATTTCTCCCACTGAAACATCATTTGATGTCAAGTTCTCAACAACTGAGATCTGCATTTCTTGGCTGAGCAATAGCCATTCCTTGTCATCTCCTTTGAAAAGGCAAATCCCCCAGGAGGATTAACACATCAAGCTGTCATCAGTGACTAACCATTCACTGTGAATTCATTCCTTGGCTAATCTCCTCTAGCGCTTTGCTGCAGAAAGACACTGGGCCCTTTTGAGAAAGGGAATGATTGGGGGGAACCAGTGGTCTTGTTAACTTCAGTTTTTTCTCTCCAACCAGCAGGGGCTACAAAGTCCCTAAGTCTATAGGAGCATACCCTGGGGACAGGAACTCGAGGGTGGGATTCATGGCAGGAATCATAAGATGTAGCAAGAAAAGAATGAGAAAGGATGGAAGGAGACCTCCACTCACATTCTGGGGCTTGCCCTGCCCTTGCCAAGGAAGGGATGGAAGAGAAAAGAGAGGACCATGGCTTATTAAGTCTTCATCTGATAACCAACCTTGGCCTCACAGTTTTGCAGCCACACAGCTCTTTACAGAGGAGGGCATGGCAACCCACTCTAGTATTCTTGCCTGGAGAATCCCATGGACAGAGGAGCCTGGCGGGCTACAGTCTGTAGGGTTGCAATGAGTCAGACACAACTGAAGCGACTTAGCACACACACATACTGTGCTGCAGGCCAGATCTGCTGGGGCAGTGCATCTGACATCCTCACAACAGCCAGCCACAGGCAGGCACCCTTCACCCGCTTTAGAGGCTCAGGGAATGAAGTGACTGGCCCCAGTCTGCCTGACTCTTTCCCAACTGTTTCACACATCCTCTCCAGTAAACCCAGCTGATGGCTGGGGAAACCAAAGGAAATGCCCAGCACATGGTCATGTGGCTGACAGGAGAACCTAGTTCTCCCACTTCTACCTTTAGTATCTTTCTTGGTTTTTCTCTTAAAAAGGAAATGAACAAGGTGCCTCCAGTGGTCACGCCTAGTGGAGAAGGCAGTGTTCTCTAGCGGGCCCTCAGACGTCCCAGCTTCCTGCAGGCCTGGGATCTCCAGGTCACCATAAGGTGCCCAGCTCCCTTCCCTGCCTGCCCGCCCCGAAGTCCTCCTGCTCTGCCCTCTTCTCAAAGCTCAGGGGTGGGAAGAGGATTGTGATCCCTTTAGGGTAGCTCTCCAGCTCCCAGTCCTAGAAGGCTGGTGGGTGGCAGGCATGTAGTTCCCAGTTCCCTCCCCCAGAGCCAGCCCCTCTGATGGCCGAGGCCCCAGTACCAGCGGGCAGCTCTACCTGGAGCAGGGAAGACCAAGGAAGAATGGGTGGGACTGGGGAGGGGGCGTCGCATCGCTGCAACTTACATTGCCCTTCTCAAACAGGTCGATGTTATTCCTGCAGTTGTAGAGCAGCCGCTCCCCTGTGTCCCCCACGTCACCGTAAAGGCAGAGGTAGACGTTGGCATCCGTTCCCGCACCTTCGAGTTCCCCAGTGCACACAGTCACGCGGTACCGGGCCACTGGCAGGTAGAGAGGGGGAGACCATTGACTGCCAGCCCCCTGCTCCCAGCGCTGGCCCTGCTGCTCCTCACTTTCAGGCACTGCCTTCCCCTCCTCCATCCAGCTCTCATCCAGGGCTGACCATGCTCCTTCCCTCGGCTGCCTCAGGACAATGAAGGGCCAGCTCAGCTGCGAATCTCTGTCCCAGACAGTTCAGAGGCTGCTGCTCCTGGCTAATCATCAGAACTCCATGGGAAATGTTTATAAGAATTCCGATTCCTGGGCCCTGCCTCAGACTTCTCAAAACTTAGTTCTTGAGCTGGACCCCTAAAACTGCATTGTTCACAAGCTCCCCCAGGGGACTCTGGTGAAGCTGGCAGGATTTGGGGACCATGGGTCTAATTCAAACATTTTGGCACTTGATTCCATTCCAGCCCACTAGACTTTATTTTGCCTTAGGTTGTTCTCCAATTCATATATGCCCTGTCTTCCTAAGAAAAGTAAGATAGCTTTTCTTTTGAACAAGAACTGAGCCTCCTCTTCTCTTCAGAACTCCCCAGTGCTAAGGACATGCCAGGAAGAGAAGCAGAAAGAAAGCCACAAAGTGCAGCCGCTCAGGAAAGGGCAGAAGCTTCTTCCCATACTGAAAATATACTGTAGGGGGCAGCCCACATCCTGCACATCACAGCCTTGCTTCCACTTAAAATAAGCTTCAAAGTGAAATTCATTAATTCATTTGCCCCCTATCTGTTAACCTAAGCCTAGTAGGTGGAAGGCATTATGACAGGTGTAATGAGCAAGACAGACAAACTCTTGCTCTGTGGCACTTGCATTCGAGTTGAGAATGGAAAACTGGGGAGGAGAGATGGACAGTAAAATCATAAATTGAGGACAGAGAAATTTCTGAGTTATATCTACAACCAAGATAATACCTTGAAGTGATGCCACAGAGTGTGCTAGAAGTGAAGAGAAGGGTAGTGAGTGGTGAAAATGATTTAGAGATGCAGAAAAGCTTGCTGTGATGAGGCAAGGTTTGGACTAAGATATTCGTAGGAGGAGCCAGCCACAGGCACTGTGAAAGAAGAGGGTGCTGCTAACTGAAGCCCCAGTGTGGGTGCAAAGACTATAAAGTGGGGATGAGCAGCTATGTTCCAGGAGCAGAGAGAATAAGGCTGGTGTGGCTGGAGTGAAGGAAACAGGAGGGGATGATGTGAGGTCCAGAAGTGAACAGGGGCCAGAAAGGGGCCTGTGATGAGTGACAGGTCAAGGTAAGACATGTGGCTTCCTTTGCTTATTGTTTTTAGTACTACAGAAAGCCATGATAGGGTTTAAGCAAGGAAGTAACTTGGCCTAATCTATGTTTTAAAGAGCATCTGGTTACTATGTGGAGAGCCAATTGTAGGGGATGAAGGAGAGAATCAGAGAGGACAATTAGTGGAATAATTACGGTAGTCTAGAAAAGAGAGAGGGTACCTAGGACTGGGGGTGCAGTGGAGATGGGGAGAAGTTGGTAGATTAGAGATACATTTTTGAGGTAGAAATAACAGACTCAGTGATAGATTAGATATGTAATTAAGGGAAAGACAAACCAGGGATGATTCCTGGGGTTTTGGCTTGGGCAACTAGGTGAATGGCATTGCCAAAAAGTAGGAACATTTGGGAAGAAGGATAAGTTTGGAGGTAAAATTCAATAGTTCTGTTTGTTCATTATAAATCTGAGATGCCTATTAGATCAGGGGTCCTCAATCCCTAGGCCAAAGACTGGTACCTGTCTGTACCCTGTTAGGAATTGGGCCACACAGCAGGAGGTGAGTGGTAGGTGAGCAAGCGAAACTTCATCTGTATTTACAGCCACTCACCCTTGCTTTGCATTGCCACCTGAATTCTGTCTCCTGTTAGATAAGAGATGGCATTAGAGTCTCATAGGAGTGCAAACACTACTGTGAACTGAGCATGCGAGGGATCCAGGTTGTGCACTCCTTATGAAAATCTAATGCCTGATGATCTGAGGTGGAACTGAGGCAGTGAAGCTAGTGCTTGGGAGAGGCTGCAAATCAGATTAACATTAGCAGAGAGGTTGACTGAACAGAGACCGTAAAAAATCAATTGCTCGAAGACTCATATCTAAACCCTATCAGTGAGTGGAAAGTAACAAGCTGCATCTGGTGGCAGGCTTTAAGTCAGAATCCAACACTTACTTTAGTTCATGCATGGCCCACCCATTACTTTATTTATCACTTCCATCCATGCCTCTTTCTCACCCTGCACACTTTTCTCAGTCACAGTTTCAGCAAGCCCACAAGCTAATCCTAGCCAAAATGAGTAAAAAATAAACATCACTGGGGAGTTTCTTTGGAAATGGGTGAAGACCCAGTGATGAGACAGCAGAAGACTCTAAGGCTGCCTGGTGGTTCAACTGGTAAAGAATCTGCCTGCAATGCGGGAGACCTGGGTTTGATCCTTGGGTTAGAAAGATTCCCCTGGAGGAGGGAACAGCTACCCACTCCAGTATTCTTGCTGGAGAATCCCCAAGGAAAAAGGAGCCTGGCAGGCTATAGTCTGTGGGGTTGCAAAGCGTCGGACACGATTGAGTGACTTTCACTTCATTTCACAAAAAGTAGGCTGCACTTCAAAGAAAATACCAAGAGTCCTACTTAAACTGCACATTCATTTCAACAGGTGATTCACATTCTCCAAGCCCGTTTGGTAAAATATGTGGTGACCAGCTATCCAACAAGCCATGAAGCCTTCTAAACTTCTTCACCTAATGGATATCAAGCACCCTGCATTAAAAGATAAGCCCTTGGAGTTTTTCAGAAGAAAAAAAAATGTGAACACGAAGAACAGAAACAATTATTGAAGGCCACCACTTTATCGAACATGTCTGCACTGAGAGCATCATCCTTAGCACCTATCGCATTGCTGGAGCTAGAAGCCCTTTAATATTGGTGACGAGCTCATCCTGCCTGTTGCTAAGGACATTGCTGTGAGCTTTAAGGAGAGATTGCAGCTCAAAAGGTGGCACATGTTCCTCTTTTGGCCAGCACCTTAACTAGAAGAATGGATGAAATAGCAGGGGATATTGAAGAGCAATTGTTAGGATTAAAGCGTCACCATGATATGGAATTCAGGTTGATGAGTCTACCAATGATGACAACAAGGCAACAATGCTTGTTTTTTATGCGATATATTTTTCAGGAGGATGTGCATGAGGGTATGTTATGTGCCCTTTTGTTGCCAACCAACACCAGAGCTCAAGTCTTTGAATGACTACATATCAGGAAAACTGAACTGGTCATTCTGTGTCAGTAAATGCATGGATGGAGCAGCTGCTGTGACTGGACAGCTTTCTGGTTTCACTACTCAGGTAAAAGAGGTTGCTTCTAACTGTAAACCTACACACTGCGTCATCCATAGAGAAATGCCGGTTAGCTGAAAAATGTCACCTGAACTTAACAATGTTTTGCAGGTTGTGATTAAAATTACCAACCACATTAAAGCACATGACCTTAATTCATGTCTGTTTACACAGCTCTGTGAGGAGATGGACACAGAGATCACATGCCTTCTCTTATACACAGAAATGAGATGGCTTTCTAAAGGAAGATCATGGACCAGAGAGCTTTGGTTACAAGGGCCACTCCAGAGATTTCTTTTAGGAAAACAGTCACTATCAGCCAGCACATTTTAGTGACACAGAATTGGTTGCAAAACTTGCTTACTGCGTGACATATTCAACCTGCTCAACAAACTCAGTCTATCACAGGGGAAAATGACACTGTTTCCAAGTCAGCAGATAAAGTGGCTGCATTCAAAGCCAAACTGGAATTATGCTGCTGATGAGTGAACATTGGGATTTTTGACATGTTTCAAACATCAGTAGAGATTTTGAAAGAGACTGAGCCAGCACCTTCTTTCTCCTAGCTTGTGCATGATCACCTATCTCAGCTTTCAAAAGACTTGGAGCATTACTTTCCAACCACAAAAGACTGACAAACTGGGAAGGAACTGATCTGTAAACCATTTGTGAATAAGCCAGGTTAGTTGACTTTGTTTGTGCTAGAAGAGGATCAACTACTTGAGATCACAAATGTGATTTAAGTGGCCTTAAAAGTGTGCTTGGGACAACTTCATATCTCCATACATTCTGGATTAAAGTCAAGGTGGAATATCATGAGATTGCCAAAGAAGCACTGAAAAGCCTGCTTCCATTTCCAACATCCTATCTTTGTGAAGCAGGGTTTTCTGCAGTGACAGCAATCAAAATGAAAATTACAGAGTAGACTGGACATCGCCAACACACTTTGGGTGTCACTTTCTCCCATTACCCCCAGATGGGACCAACTAGCTGCAGAAAAACAAGTTTAAGGCTCACTGATTCTGCATTGTAGTGAGTTGTATAATTATCTCATTATATATTACAATGCGATAATAATAGAAATAAAGTGCACAGTAAATGTACTGTGTACCCATATGCTTAAATAATCCCCAAACCATTTCCACCCCAGTCCAAGGAAAAACTGTCTTCCTTGAAATCAGTCCCTGCTCCCAAAATGGATGGGGACTGCTGCATTTGACGATCATAAAGAGAGGTCGAGATGGTGGTTGAATATGTGTGGAGGGTCAGGACTGTTGACATGACTTTCATCATCATAGACATGTAGATTCCACTGAAATTCCATCACAGTGCCAGATGAGGTCCTCTGTGGAGAGGATGCAGATGAGGACTGTAGAGGGATGCCCACTTTAGAGGTCAAGCCCAGAAGCTAGAGACTCAGATGAGAAGCAGCAGCCAGTGAAGCAGAGGGAGTTTGCTCTGAATCTAAGGCTGCTCTAAAAAGTCTATTTCTTTTTCAATGAAGCGGCTATTAAGGCATTCTCAGATAAACAGAAACTAAAAGGATTCATCACTAGCAGACCTGCTCTAAAGGAAATATTTAAAGGAGTCCTTCACATTGGACACTAGACAGTAACTTCAACTCACTCAGACATAAAGAGAATGAGGAAAAGCAATGACAGA